GTAAGAGCTGCAAATGTGTCACTTTTTACAGTGTTCAATGACATATTATATGCTGTATAATAGCTAGTATTACTATCAGTATTAATTGAGTATGAATACTTTGCTGTCATTAGTGGTAAAGACCATATTCCTCCTTGGATTTTGCACTCAATCACATGTGATCTACTAATTAGTCAGCATATAGGTGCAAGGGGAGAAGTGCTGTGTGTCCATGCAGAAAGACCCAGACCTAATTTTTGAAACACAGTCGTCAATCGCTCTTGAAGGCAGTGAAGCAGTGAATTTCTCTCTGTGAGTTCTCTCTCTGACTCACCAAGGAGAACAACTCTTTCTCTCTCTGTCTGGATTGTACTCTCTCTGGCTGTCTCTCTCTTGTTTTGGCCCTCAGGGAGCTGGCTCCTGACAGCATCATACAGAAAAGAAAAAAATCTCTGAAAAGTCAGAGTATTTGAAATGTTTTGGTGCATGTACATTTCTTTCTTTGTCTGAGTGCCTCCCTCTATTCCTCCAACGTTCTCTGCTTCTCTCTTTTCACCTCCCAGTTCGATTTCACCCACATTCTACTAAGAAGACAGTAAGAGAGTGTTGTTTCAACTCATTCATTCAGTTAAAGTCAGTACTTGTCTTTTGCTTGGTTTGTAGTTTTAGTGTATCTTGAATATAAAATATAAAAATAGAGAGTATTCTTTTGTAGCCACTTGCATTTACACAAGGGGAAAAAGTAACTGTATATAGATTTGGATTTATATATTTTGGAAATTATTTTTGTATTCTATTCAGTGGTTCCTTTATTTCTTCACCAAGCACTATTCACTTAGTAAAAATAACAATGTAGACAAAAAAATGTATAGTAAGTAAGAAAGTAGAAAGTAGTGACTGCAGATTATTGAAAGGAGTAGAGGGAGAGAGTCACATTCTTGGTCTATGAGTAATTTAAATTAGTTCACAATTCTTCATATTGAAGTTTGAATACATAATTCATCATTTTGAGCCCCGTCATGATGTTAACTGTACATAGAAGGACTTGTAGCACATTTGGCGGACAGACAAAGTTGAATTGACCGCTTAAAGCTGCCACATATTTTGGTTGACATCCAATTATTCTCTTACTTTCCAAAGTTATGAAAAAATGGATTGGTTTATATCACTCTCCCATTCGTACAATTAATTCAAAGATATCAGTCTTCTTAGTTTATTACTGAACTGAAAACAGCCTCTAGCTTCTTGGAGTCTTAGCTGATCACCTAGCAACCTCATAGTAATAACAAAACAAGATAATGAGATGAAATCATCTCATAACATGACATTTTTACGGTGCTGTTTATGTACAGATTCAAGAGAAATATAACGTGTTATTTTGTTAGCTTTAGAGGTGTTTGTAGGCTAATTTTGTTGTGTTGAGTGTTCCTGTTGGTCTGGATTGAAGATCTTTTATTTTCAGGGCTTGCTTGTTTCAGGTCTCTTGCCTCAGAATCGCTTTCCAATCTGGTGACCCCACCTCAAGCCTCTGAGGAGCTGCATCGCTCTGTGGGACGCAGCTGCATGAAAAAGAGGAGGCCGGGTTTTCTCAGAATGCTCCTCTGTTATTGGATGTCCCCTCATTGTGACCCCCAGAGAAGCATGATAGAAGAGGAAGTTATCTAACTTCAGGGACAAAATGAGAGTTATCCTCTCAATACCCTGTAAGGTGTTGGTCAAAGCAGGAAAACTGAGTCCAACAGAGAGCTAAGACAGGGTTGATATGATTTCTGGTTTTGATTTTCAGATAACGCTCGTCTGCTTTACTTTTAGGCAATGCCACCCTTGTTTTATAACCACATTTCTCCTACGTGTGTGTGTTATTTTTAGACTCGGCTATTCCAGGTAACATGTGAAATGTCACTTCCCCTGCCACAGCCCATCTTGTAATACCTGTGGGAGTGAGTGTGTGTGGTTGGCTGCATTAACGGTGCTGTCCTTTTAATCAGCACCCCTGTGTGTTTTCCCTGTAGAGCTGTCAATGGTTGAGTGATGATGGCGGCTCTGCCACTGTTTACACCGTTGAAATCCACTGGCAGGCAGGGGTGAGATTACGAGCCTCTTACCTGTTGCCCTAATCAAAGGAATTATTATCGCTCCACTGGATGTTACTTGGAATAGCACCATCTAAAAATACACACACTTCAAACACACACACAGAGCAGGGGAGAGCTCAGGTCGTAAAGTACATCCATCCTTTGTTTGATATTTTGTGTCCGCCAGTGGACTATGCTAGCAGAGGTACTTCCAGTGACTTTCCATAGTAGCTCCGGTCTCTGATTTGTCAGTTAAAAGTGAAAGATTTACACTTATATATAATATGTCACAATTCTCCATTAAGATGTCCAACTAGACCTATGTTATACATTTTGTTGACTTGTGTACATTATCCAAAATTCAAACCCAGAGAAATCCCCAGTTTTTTTTCAAGGTAATTGGATGTTTAATTTTGTCACTTTTTGATTGCATCATATCCACTTTACCCGTCTCTGCTATAACCTCCTGGGCAAATAAAGCATGGTGAAGGAAAAACACACCGCTGACCAGTTAGCCTGTTGGCCACTCGTAATGTATCACAATTCTTCATTGTCGTTTTGCTGCGTAAAAAACACCTACTTCCTGAACATGATTTGAATCTGAGTCACGTCAACTAGATTTTCATCTGCAATGGTGGTGAAGAATACAACTCCCATGATCCCATGCTGCTTTACGACATCATCAAACTAGGTCTTGTTATTGTTTTGATTGAGAGACCCCTAGCGGGTGAATTTACATACATACATTACATATGTGTAGAAGTTTACTACTTTCCTTTCTCCTGTCTTGGTCAAAAAAGCTGTGCACAGGCTTTGTATTTAAAATTAAACAAATAAAACAAATCAACCTGTTTGTTGTGGAATAGATTTAATATTTGTACCTTTTTTAATCTGTTGGGATTTCTTTGCTTTGTTACATTACAGAGTTGTTTACATTTTAGCCTCCATGGGGACATGGGGGGTAGACTGAGCCTCAGGCTATGACCTGCCTGAGGAAATTCTGTTTGTATGTCTCTGTTACTGTTAATGTACAGCAAAACATAAATACTGATCTCTGTATACAGAACATGACATTGCGTCCCCTTTTTTTTGGCACAGAGCGTTCCCACTGATCCGCTGCCCTGGCTGAAGAGGCTTGTGAATAGCTCTTTTCCAGTGTAGCCACTTATGTAGAATATTTGATCCATATAAGCTGCGACTGTGAGAGAGGCCCATTCACATTGAAGAGGAGAGGGAGAGAGAGACAGAGAGAGGAAGAAATATAAAAAGAAAGCAGATGAACACCCCAGGGGCAAAATGTATGGAACACGGTCAATATAGAGTTGATCGATAGGAGATTACCTTTTGAAGACATATTGACTCCGAAAATCAATTCAATTTAATTTATTTTGTCCAGTTGCCCCTTGAATTAGTTTTCTGTGAAAGGCAATCAATGTATAGTATTCCACAGGAAGTCCTTGTGATCCTGTGTGGTTTACAGGGGAACCCTTTAGCGTCATGTCATTCATAATCCTGCTCATTATCATATTATGCATAGCCAGATTAGCAATCAGAGGTCTCACCTTTGTATTGCATAACGCTGTCAGGGTTCCTTTCAGCGCTTAACCTCAGTAATGCAATTTTTATATTTAATGTGGTGAAACCTTGTGGCTAATTGTGTTTTATAATCTACCATTTTATGGATATTGAGATATGAGATTCAGAGAGTCGAGCGTTGCCAAAGATGGTTCCCCCTCCAGGAAAGACAATTTATTCAGGAAGTGGTTGTACGGGAAGTAATAGGCAGATAAGTTGTGTGAAAACAATGGAGGTAACAGTGACAGATTTTTACAGGATGATATTTTTTGCATGGATTGTTGTGCAGTTGGATGGATGTGTTTGTTGCATATGTCCAAAATGCCTTGCAATCCTATTGGAATGACAATATATTTTCAGTCATTACTTAAACAAAAAGCAATTATTTTCATAAAATATGTCTCTTCGATGCTCCTGAACACGTCATCAGTGGTGTAACCCGGGGTCATGGGGTGTCTGAATTAAAGTAATGTAGAGTAGTTCATGTTAAACATTTAATACATCCATGTTGTTCCCTTCTCTGTAAAATGTGTAAGGATGTACTGTATGATAAGTCCTCTGCAGAATGGAACAAAAGAGCCAGTCACCGGATAAATCTTTTTATTGGGTTTACAAAAATCAACATTAATAAGCTCGGATAATCCCACATCTAAATAAAATCTCCAGGTTCCTCACTTGGTTGTTGAAATGTATCCTGGGCCGTCCACGCTTATCTGGCAAAGTTTATCTTCCAGAGTGATTGTATAAAGAAACCATTACCGCTGCAGTTCCTGTTCTGCGCTCGGCAAAGCAAGACGAAGCTGTGACGATGAGGTGCGGGGAGACACAAGCAGAACAGTCATCTAACAGGAAATGTTCAGGAATTTGTCTTTGGTGTGGATCTGTGGATAAAAGAATATAAGGTCTCTTGCCAAGAGGAGGATTATCCCATTTTGTTCCTGTCTCTCCCTCTGTCCCTTTGACCCAATCTATACTTTACATTTACACTGTGCTTTTAGCAAACTCTCTTATCCTCATCGGCATACCTAGCTCTAAAAATCTACAGCAGAGAGAGAGAAGCAGAGGTGTTTGTCTTATTTGCCTGCTCATTCCCACAGCTCTCTCTCTGATGAAGGCAGCCTTTATTAAGGGAAGCAGCTTCCTATTAAAGGTTTGTATAGAAGAAGCCAGAGAAATTATTAAAAATCTGCCCAAACCAAAAAGGATGAGGCGAGTGCGTGTGATTACACACTGCATGTAGAGACGTGCTTGTGTGTCAGCAAACATTTGTAATAGTTCTGTAAGTGTACAGGATGATGCTAGATAACGAAGTTAGCAGCTATTGGATATCTGCAAATTGCACTCAACTTATTTATTTATTTTTTCTTTCAGAGTGGTCCAGTGCTGCTGTCCTCCAGTATTTCCCCTCCCTTCAGCTATCTGTTCTTCTGTCTGTCACCAGGTAAGTAACGCTCAGATTCACCTCCCACATATGTACACTACAACTCAGATGCTCGCAGTCTTTTTCAGTAGTTTATGTAATCATTAGGTCACTGCCTGGCTCATACTGCAAATTGCTGTCACCTTAATAAAACCGAGCAGCTATCCCCGTTCATGTAATGTGATGTGATGCAGGCATACATTACATTATATCAGAGGAGGGTAATGAGTTTTAGGTTTTTTCCAATTTGAACAGATCTAGACAGTGCAGGAAAAAAATCCAACAGACAATACCTGACAAATCTGCAATGTCAAAAATCAAGAGTTATTTATGCATAGCTCATTGACTAAAACAACACAAAGGTCAACGTGCAAAAGATGTCTCCTCCCTGGGTGACATTTCACTTTTCTTTTCCTCTACCTCTCTCTCTTCTGGATAAGACTGTATACCTAAATGATAACAGAGCAGCTTGACAGATCAAATTATGTTACAAATGACCATTTTCAGACACACCTGGTAATACTGCCAAACAAGAAACATCGGTAGTCATCTCTCTGAAATGCCACCTGGCCTTACTGAGGCCTCACACTTGTTGCATGTCCAATGATATTCAGGTTAGATTATGATATAGCTCTATTATTTAGGACAAATCCCAGGTACAGAGGGCCTCAAGCTAAAGTAATAACATGTCAAAATCCTCATTTAAACTGCTGTTTTTATCAGGGAAAGATTGATTTGATGTTTGATTTGATTTTTCTTGAGAAAATGATTGAGAATTATTATCCGTTGACCTTTGTGGAAAATGATCCACAGTTTTCACATAAAGCTTCTTTAACTGGGTGTGTCCTGGTGCCATTTTAAATGCTGAATAAGTGTGCAGAATTCAACAGTTGTAATGCTCTAGAACATTTTAGAGAAAAGGTCATTTTCTCCTTGCTTAAATGGCTGCATGTATTAATATTTAACCAGTGCTTTTTGCATGTTTGGGGAAAAAGCAGCAACACAAACCAGCTCTAATGTATAATTCCCAGCTATCTGTTATCGCCAATTACAGGGCTTGTTTACTAGAATCAAGGAGCCTAGTGGATCTGTGTGTGTGTGTGTGGCCAGGGCTTTTAATGATGGGGGTAGTTGGTCTCCCTCTAGAGATGTGTGTGTGCTCTGGTAAGGCCTGAGGGGGCAGTTGGTCTGGGTGGGCTAGTGAGTCTCTCTGTCTCTATAAATACACACTGGGATCCCATTCAGTGGCTAAAATGTGAGTGTTTGTATGTGTATGGTGTTTGTGTGCGTGCGTCTGCATGACGCCACTGCAGCCAGGCGAGCTTGAGGCTATTACTGGCCGGAGGGTTGCTATGGAGACCAGTGGTGTCAGAGAGGAGCAACATCTGTGGGGTGTTTGTTTGTCAAGACAGGTTTGTCTCTTTCTGTGTCCGTCTTCCCACTTTCTCTGTCAGTCTAGTAGTTTAAAACTCACCGCCTTCTGGGCTGAATTTAGAAGAGCCAGATGAAAAATCTCTGGCTTCTCATCATCAGTCTTTTCAAACAGTGGTAAACAATCCACTTGGATGTGGAACCAATTTAAAGCTTTGATTTGTTGTGCAATCGCTCAGCTGCCTATGCTCATCCATGCTCACAGGAGGCCCTCAGGCTGTCAGTCAGCAGGGACTCACTGGGTTTATGCCAGCGGAAAGCATGGATTCTGGGGAACCATTTAACCTCTGCCCCCTCCCTGCTCCCTCTCTCCACAGCTCCCCTCTCTATATGGTCATGTTCTATTTCCACAGCTACTTTCTCCTGGCTGCCTTATCGGTAGCTCAGCAGGGCACAGATTCTCTTTTAATAGGTACTTATTTGGGCAATGGGAGAAATACCATATTTTTTGAGTAATCCCTACTCCCTCCCCCTGCCCTCCTCTTGCCCTCCCCTGACTGGTTCTCAAATTCTCAAGCTTGTCTTTATTACTAATTTCATATACTGGGTTATCCCTCATTTCTCTGCTTCCTCCTCAGAACTGGACTGCAGAATGGAGAGAGGGTGAATCTTTGGCTTTCATTTCAGATGTAAGAGCCCACTCCGCAAATTGGGTTTCCTCTTTTGAGTTCTGTTAATTGAGGACACTTGAATCCTCTAAGGCATTGTCCCAAGTTCCATATGCTGTGTTGCAGTAGCCAGAATTCAGCAGCTTCCCAAGCAGAGGTCAACTAGACTATGTTATTATCCATGACCATGTTTGGGCAAACCTGCCCCAGAAGATCCCTCCACGGGGCATGTGTAGCTGGGCGAACCAAACCTATGACCCCCTAATCTGGTCTAAATGAGACCGTCATTCACACAGCGCAGAGCAGCACGGAGTCTGTGATGCAACAAAGTAATTTAGGGATAATTGTTGTTGAAGGCATCAAAGCACCTCTGCAAACACCAGTTGCCTAACTTTCATCTCCAGATTAACTTGCTTGTATAAACCGCCCTGCACCTACTGTCATCAATTCATTTACGCCAAGATTAGACTAAGCCTTGTTAGATTCTGTCTGCGTCCTTGCATGACTCTCGGCATATTTTAAATGGACAGGCAGAGGTGCTTTTTCAATATGAAGAGTTAACAGCATGACTGTTACGGCCTACAACAGCAGAGAATCATGCAGTGTTTGGAGAAAATGTCAACTTGCTGCCTGTGAAAAAGTCGAACCAAAAAGATGAACCTAAAGCTTGTGTTCAGCCAAAAACATTTCAAATAGTGCTTTGACCAAAAATAGAAAAGCTAGTTGAGTCTACTTCAGAGGGGATGGAGATTTATCTTTGTCCTCATCAGTTTGGAGGAACATAAATTTGTGCTGCAGTCTACACAGGCTCCACACAGGCCCACTCTACCTTCATGTCCTCATCTCTTATCTGCACTATTTTTCTAATATTCCAGACTCTTGCTGTGTCCAACCACACTTTTTAAAATGAATTCCTTATGCTTCAAAGTCTTTCTAATACCAGTGTTGCACGGTGAGCTTTCTATTGTTCACCAGACACAGATACATGAACCCTTGAAAAAAATGTCTTTTCCGTATTCCAGCTGGTGTTGTCGACTACACATAATTATCACTGAGCAAAGATGGAGGAATTTTAGTTATATTTTCAGATAATTGTAATAATAATTAACTTAACTTATAAAGCACTTTTAGAAAAACAGGTTTATAAAGTACCTCACAGACATAAAAACAGAAAACACATGCAAGTTAATGCAAGAGACAATTGATAAAATTGTAAAGAGAGTACTAAGGTAGCTTGTCTGATCAGTGATCTGTACAGAGAATAACAGCTCATGGTTAGCAGGACAAAGATTGCAAGGCTATAAGGGGTGAGAAGGTCTGTCTCCAAAAGTGGTGCAAGGCCAGTGATTTAAAGTAATAACATTTTTAAAATCCATTCTAAAACCAGCGCAATGAGGCGAGAATGGTTGTGATGCATTTTTGCTAACAAAAAGGATTCCCCAAACAATTTGAAAGCGTTACTGATGCATTTTGTACGCTGCCTTGAGTCTTGATCCTGTGTTGTTTCGCTGTCTTGTAGTTTGTCTGCCTTCATTAACTTGCTTAAAATCCTTGTAACTGTTATACATTGTCTGTTTAGACATTTCATGGGGGGTTTCACCTAAGAGCTGCGACACAGTCTGAGGGTTAGTGGGCAAAGTGTGCTAAGCCGGGCCCCTCTATTACATTGAGGGAACTCCCTGACTAAGTGCCTATTTAAACAGACACATAAACACAGGCACGCAGGCACACATACTTCTAATTCTTCTTTGTGATGCATTCCCTAGTCTCTACTATTGTCCCCTAACCTAACCTAACACTTAATTTAATCAGAACCTTAAAACCAACTTTCATTTGAAGTTGAAGCGAGGACCAAAATTACCTCATTCCATAAGGTCACTCAAATTGGCTCTCATAAATTTAGAAGTGCAAGTACACACATGCAGACACATACTGTAAAACATGTGGTGCTCTAAATACCTCTGATCAAGATTGCTGATAACCCGGGGACAGCCCTTACCCCTCCCTCCTATGATCTGGTTCCCTTGAAGGGGCCTCAGTATTCCCTCGGTGAGTCATTGAGGGTAGTCATTGGCCCTTGGGTCAACAGACTTTCTCTGATACACACTCATTTATTAGGTGGATGCTCTTTCCATCCGGCCATGTGCTAAATTCTTTGTGTAACTCAGTTTGGCAGAGGGTGGACGTGGAGGACTATATATAGCTCTTATATAACTCTTTGAGTATGTGTGTGTCCCAGTATGGCTGTGAGTTTTATGAACTAATTTACATCTTCATCTGCTTTCGGCAGCTGACCCGACAAACATCTTGTGTTTAATGGTGTGGGAGATCCTGCCGCTGTAGTTGAATGTGTGAAAGTCTTATTCATACTGACACTCGTGCATCTTGTGAATGATATTTGTGTGTGTGTGGCAAGTGCTTGTTTGAATCCAGATGGCCGACCACAGTTGGGTACTGCAGTCGATGTGTGTGACTGAAAGACGGCCAGTTTCCATCCCAGGCTAAAGTCAATTACATAACCCGGGACCAAGGAGCATGAGTGAGCAGGTTGATCCTCAACTATAAAAGGCAAGGAAGAGGTTAGAAGAAGGTCATTTGGCTTGGAAAAAGACATTTTTCCATCCAACAGCATAATACTTCCTCATCCCAGAGAAACAAATAGTGATTACACCAGTTTTGTACGTACAGCCCAAGAAAAGCATATATTAGCCAACTGACTTTTTTTTCATAGCAAGGAGAAAAAATTAAAATTCACTCATCTACTTACCACTATGCCGATGGAGGGGTGGGTAAAGTGTTTGAGTACACAAAGCACTTTAGGAGTCTCAGGGTTGAACTTTGTTGCAGCAGAATCGAATACAATTAAAGTCATTGGTGAGCTTTTGTTCAGACGTAATAAAATAGAAAAAACACAACATGCATCCATACTGCTCCTGTGGTGTCATCCAAGTGTCCGTTAGCCCCGACATTCATATTCAATTC